TGAGATTGACAAGTTTTCTACCGACAATCATGGATTATTGACCAGGTATAGTTGTGTTTGGTTACCAGATTTTGGTGGGGTTATACAGGCTATGTAGGAGGAGGCACATAAGTCTAGATTTTCGATACACTCGGGAGCCACCAAGATGTATCGAGACTTGAGGCTTAGTTATTGGTGGTCGTTCATGAAGCGAGAGATAGCTTGGTATGTCGAGCGGTGTTTGACATGTCAGATAGTCAAAGTCGAGCACTAGAGGCCGCATGGAAAGCTTCAACCTTTAGAATTTCCCATGTGGAAATGGGAACAGATCACCATGGATTTCATCACCACATTACCTCGTACTACAAAGGGATTTGATGCGATATAGTAGACTGTTTGACCAAGAGTGCCTACTTCTTATCCATCTGATAGAGCTCGTTGACTGAGAAATTGGCCGATGTTTATGTGCCTGAGATCGTGGCCCATCATGGTGTTCCAGTCTCCATTGTATCTGATTGAGATGTTCGATTCACATCTCGTTTTTGGCAAAAGTTCCATGAGGAACTGGGTACTAGGTTGCATTTTAGCACTACTTATCATCCACAGACTAACGGCCAAAGTGAGAGGAGCATCCAGATAGTTGAGGATATGTTTAGAGCTTGTGTCATAGATTTAGGTGGGAGTTGGGACTCCTACCTTCCTCTGGTGGAGTTTTCTTACAACAACAGCTATCACTCCAGTATTAGTGTGCTGTCGTTTGAGCTTCTCTGTGGGAGGAATATTCGTACCCCAATCTACTGGGGATAGGTTGGTCATCGGGTTATGGGAAGGAATTAAGTAGTCCTTCAAACAACATATCTTATTCAACAGATTAGGCGGAGGCTGCAGGCAACTCAGAGTCAACAGAAGAGTTATGCCGACAAGCATCGATCTGAGCTAGAGTTCCAGGTTTGTGACATGGTTTTGATGAAGGTATCACCCTGGAAGGGTGTAATACGATTCAGGAAGAGGGACAAGTAGCTTACATGCTAGATTTGCCCGAGGAGCTTAGTCAGATTCACAACACCTTTCATGTTTTGCAGCTTTGGAAGTGTGTGGCTTATGAATCAGTAGTTGTTCATTTGGATGATGTTCAGGTTGATGATCGCATGAATTATATTGAGTCTGTTGTGTGGCTATATGATTATATGTCTGTTGAGTATATACTATATGTTATATGTCGACATAATATAGTTGGGTTGAGATTGTATTGCTTTGTGTGGACAATCAACAAACCCGGGGCAATCTGACCGGTAGGTTGTGGGCTAGGGCAATCCAGTCGGGAGATTATGGGTCAGGTCAATCCAACCGGGAGGTTGTGGGCCAGGGTAAGCCAACCGGGAGGTTGTAGACCTAACATGCATTTTGTATATCTGTTTGGTTGTACTATGTGGTACTTTGGGGGAACTCATTAAGCTTTGGCTTACAGTTTTAGTTTTATGTTTCAGGTACTTTGGGTGACCGGAGCAAGGCGAAGGCGTCATCGTACACATCATTCGACGATATGTTTGGGAGATTTTATGATACACTGATATTGGGGATATTTGTATTTGATACTTGATTTGATATGACTTGGTTGAAAACAATGGTTCTTTTTAATTTAAAAATGAAAAATATTATCGTGATTTTTGAAATGTTACATGGTAATTATATTCATCATTAAATATAGGCAAGAGCGTGCTTCTCTATGGTGCATTATGATATAACGACATCCAATAGTGTCGAATTTATCAATGTATTATATGTCTCTAAATTAAAACTGCCAATAATGATGTTGATATTTTTTGTTCCATGATGCAAAAATAAATGTTTCAAATGTTTATACGTTGAAGAAATTTATAAAAGATGCTTATTATTTATTCATATTTTGAAATGATTGTTAAACACGATATCACCCTTGGAAAGAGACGAAGTAAAAAGAAGAATGTTTGGAAGTGAGACATATAATGTATACCTCCTTTTATAATTGAAAAATGAAGTACGTGACAGTGGAACGAATGTCACCATTAATATATAAGAAAAAAACTTGTACATGTAAAAAGTGACAATGCTCTAGTTTACCGTGTGGTCATGTAAGGATTTCATGTCAATACTTAGGATAGTCACACTAGCATGTTTAGCTTGCGACATGGTTCTCCATAGAGCGTTTTCAAGTTGTGTACCAGGAGAAGAGCATCATTTATCATCCCCTCTAAATGGTAACATTCCGACAAAGTAGTGATCGTTATACCACCGTTGAGAAACAAACATCAAGCATGCCACCATAAAGAGTACAATCATCCCAATGAGATGGATCCATTATAAAACAATGGAATAGATGCCAAAAGAAAAGATACAATGTCCTTAACTTTCTATGTATGTTATTGTTACCGGTAGATACTTCAAAGTTGGGAGCCTCAAGTAGCGATAGGCCTTCTAATAATTGCTCCTAAAGTTACGCTTGTTTTCTTATGTTTGATTTGAATGAATAAATAAACCTTCGCAAACTTACTCAGCGTTCAGATTGCTCTTTATATGGAATCATATTCTATTTTTAACTTAACATTAAATAACTTGTCAAACCCCATCGACGGAGTCTAATGGTTGAGGTGCAGAATTTCATTTAGTTCAAACCATGACATGCATAAAATAACATTAGTCCTCCACGATTACCCTTAGATGATGGTTCCTGCAGTGGGTTCAATGTGGGGCGCTTAATAGGCAATGAGAATATAACTTATCATAAACCCATCCATGAAAATCTTTTTATCATATGTTATACTCTTATTGATTTGATCATATGTCATTTTGTGGTTTTTTTTTTAATTAAAATTTTTCCATATGATATTTTGTGGTTTTTTTTCATTTTATCATATTCCATATAATATTTAAATGTAATAATAAATGCATATCAATTTCATTAATTGACTTTCCTTTTAATTTTAAAATTTATAAATTAAAACCTCATTAGCTTCATTTGTTTATTTATCTAAATTATTTGTTTAAATTTAAAAAAGAAAAAACACTTTAATTTTAATAATTCAATATTTTTCTTTCAAACTTTTAAATGTTCAGAATTTCATATTTAAATTTTCTTTTAAATGAACCCATTTAATACATGAATTTTACACCTGATTATTAATCAATGAGTGCTTATAATATTCTATTTTTCAAATGTTTAAAATAACTAATTATTATCGGTGCCAAAGCACAATAAGCAATCTCATGAACACACCCTAAGCAATATAAAACAATTATATACAAAAGTGGTAGTAAGTAGAGTTTCAAATTTGTTCTAATAGATAATTTCCAACTTGTTCTATCATCAGAGGATTTTCGAAACATGTTATTCAAAGTAAATGAAGAATAGTGACCCCTACATACCATGTTTACTTACTAAGCAATATAATTCACAAAACTTACAACAAAAACGGTAAAAATATAGTTTTGAACTTGTTGGTGGGTTTTAAAGCTGTTCTTATAAAGAAATTCGAACTTATTCATCAATGAATAATTATTCACAAAACTTATAACAAAAACCTGTAATATATCATATTCCAACTTAATAGTAAGTTTCAAACTCATTATATCTATGTATAAACCGGCGATTGTGCCCTTTATACACAATGGGATAATATTATACCTTGTTAGTGCTCAATGTTCACGACAACCTTTCATATCATCACAGAACATAGTTTCTAATTACAAATTAAGAGAAGTATATAGATGATTTGAAATTGATAGACGTTTGACATTTGTGAAAAGTGAATAAGTTAAATAAGGGAGCCGCAAAATTTGAGTCTGAAACTTATTGTGGAGTTCGAAAATAACCAATTTTCAAACTTGGTGATATTTTAGACAAGAGTAAATTACACGAACGGTCCCTATGGTTCAGAGTAATTTACGTGTTTGGTCCATAATTTATTTTTTTAACTCGAAAGGTTCCTATTATTTGTTTTTGGTACGTGTTTGGTCTCTGTCTTACCTAAAAAGACTATTTTACCCTTAATTTTAAATTATTTAATTAAATACACCCCTAATCCCACCCTCCTCACTTTACCTTACCAACCCGCAATTTTTTCCTATTTAAATAATAGTCTTTTTTAGATAAGACAGAGACCAAGCACGTAACAAAAACAAACCATAAGAACAAAACGTGTAACAAAAACAAACAATATACACCTTTCGAGTTAAAAAAAACAAGTTAGGGATAAATACGCAAATTACCTTAAACCATAGGGACCATTCGTGTAATTTACTTTAAAAAATATAATAATAATAATTTTTTTTGTCAAATTAATACTTTATAGAACGTGATATTTTTGTGATTATCCTTTTTTTTTTAAACATTGTAATGACAAATTTTGATTCTACATTATTAGCATATTACAAGATTTTTGTCACACGTCAAATAATTTTTATGGATGTTCTTTTATAGGGACTTTAACATCAAAAGGAAATAAAGATATGATTGTATGATTTGTATCCATAATAATAGAAGCCAGATTTACTTTATAAATCAGTCAAATCATATCATTGACAACTTTAACCCTTTTTGCATGATTTATTTATATTTTTACTGACATGTACAATCTAAATGTCCAAGTTCTTAGATGAGAAAGAGATCGTAAAACCCCAAGTAGAAAAATCAATTTGGCACATTTACTACAACTTGTTTTTTATGGGACGGAAAATTACAACATTTATTTCAATGGTATCAATCCGAGTCTTATTTCAATAAATGTCAACCACACTACAACTTATAAAAATAGTAAACTACACAATCAGGAAGGCTCACATCGAACCTGTCCTAAGGCCCATCACATGACAGATAAATTGCTGACAAGTAGCAATATTTTGTATGTGCTTTAACTTTCTTTTTGGAATTCTACACCTCAACCAGTATCAACTAGTAGTCTCTTGTAAACATATGAAGAAGACCACCTTAACAACTCAAATTTCACCATAAATTTTTAGATCTATGTTTGCTATTTGTGATTTTGCATCCATGAAATAAGATTTTTTTAAGAGGGTAAGAGAGTTGCAATAATCCATTAACATTACATATATATATATATTCATCTACTCCAACATGAAAGATCTCGATAGTTATACACGTCCATGAAGGCCATTTTAAAAACAACAATTCGCGATAAAATCACACAAGCAAGAAATAGCAATGTACTTTACACAAGCTTCTCCGACTTGAATATAGGAATAGATTGTCGAAGAAGTAGATGGTTTCCCGTGGATTTACCGAGTACATTTAAATCCTTCACCCGTTGTATCTCTCTCCCTGTTTTTTGTTTTGCAATCAACATTTATTTTGTCCTTTTTTATAATAATATTTGAAATATTAACTATTTTTTTACCTTCTTCCACAACTAGTTGGATGGCACGCCTCTCGAGGTCAACCGCATGTCTACTACATTCATCGGGAGAGAACGATCGGAGTTCTAGCATCATAGGAAAGAAACGAATCATATCAGTGTAATAGAATAAAGAGGACATTCACGTCTTTTGCACAGAAGAAATCAAACGGAACCACACGTCCCACCTTTTTACGTATGACATTCACTATCCGTGTCCCACCTTTTCCAGTTAGGTGAGACAATGACTATGAAACAGTGGGACAACGACCTGTCCCATGTCCCACCTTTTTAGGTGGGACAATGAGTGTCGTATGTCCCACCTTTTTTAGATGGGATGACGTTTATCCCTTCTAAAAAAGGTGGGACTGGAATTGAATCGATTCAATTCCAAATTCCAATCAGGAATACAAAATATAACTAGAGTAAAAGTACGAAACTAACCTTGAAGATAAACCTCATGATTCGAGGTATCACACTGCTTCAAATAATTTTGCAACTGAACAAATCTCGTATTCCAGTGCTCCATTGCCGACAAATTAACGACACTCGATTGCTCATTCACGATATCATTACCCTTTTGAGGACTACTGCGCCTTTTATCGCCTATATGTTCTCCATCGGATTTTCTACGTGCATAAACAAGATTATGGTTATTGACATTACTACCCCCGGGAGGACTCTTGGCTTCAAGGGTTTCGGGAGGTCCAGTTTTACTGTCATTTTGCACGCTTTTCACATTTGTGTCCTTGGCGGCAACCGGTGGAGGATTTTGCAAGTTTTTTACGGTTTTGTCCTTGGTGGTAACTAGCGGTGTTGGTGGTTTATCAGGGCTGCTGCTGATGATGCTTGGAAATTTTCCGAGCCCGTATTTGCTGAGGTTAGAGCTGACCATTTGTTCAACCATGGTGAATGACTTGTGTCGGGGGTATTTTAGTAATTACCTGTTGAAACATCAACATATGTTGGACAATGTTGATATATAATTCAAGTCAACTTTAATATTATTCACTTATTGATGTTAGCATTAACATAAACTTGACTGTTTTTTGTAAAATATCTATATATCTTTTAATGTTTTAAACACAATTACAGAATTTCTAGGTAGAAGGTGATATAACTATAGGGGGGATGAGTGAATTAAGGTCGATTGGGTCAAGTCAAAACGGGTATGGTTGACCTGCCATCACTTTATTTTCTATTTTTTTCTAAAGTTCATAGATAAATATCAATAGAATCTATCCCAAATCAACCAATTTACACATAAATAGGTTGAAATTTGTCATCTATAAACATAAGCCAGCATTGTTATTCAGCATTGTTACAGGTTGTTCTTAAACTGAATCACAATCATTAGTTTAGGATGGTTGATAAAAACTTATTATGATTTTGATTTTCTGATTTTTAGGATCAAAAGAATCAGATTTGCAAAACCATGAAAGGAGTTACTCGAAAAAACTAATTACTAACATAAATCACCAACAGGCTAAGATGATTAACCTTCTATAATTCGTCCTTGTGTTCCAAATTAACGGCTTAACTTACTTAATTTGATTAAAAGTCAATGACAAAATCACAAATGAAGCAATCGATACGATCCGAAAAGTATAGTATGTATTATTTCCAGCATTACCAGTCATCGTTCTCACAAAATCAATTACAGCCTAAGCCCTCGCACAATGACAACCTTACGAGCAAAAACAAAACGTTGTTCTTCAAACAAAAACCACGTCGAAGAAGCACAAAGAAATCAGCACAACACACAGCAAGAAACAGAAATTACACCGAACACGAACTGTAAATTTGAGCAGAAAATAAACGAGAAGAGTTGATAATGACCGAGAATAAAATAATTTACCTTTTAAGAAGAGATTCAACGCTATAGAATTTGGGGGAAAACCGAAATTAAGAAGAACTAGTCAACAAGCGAAGACCCTTGGAAGAAATGTGCAACAAGAATTAGAGGTGGTGTGGATATGGAGTTGGGAATTTGGAGGGAGGGAGTATATGAGCATCGCCCACACAGCACAAAGCTAGGGATTTCAAGCGGGAAGCAGCGACGGTGGGTGGAGGTTTTGGAGGGGGTAAAACGTAAAAAGCCTAAACTTATATAATCTGTGATGGCGCAGACGGTGAAGTCTTGACAGAAAGAAAAGGGGTGTACGTTTTGCATCTCCGATAGTACATTTGATTTTATTTATTTATTTATTTATTTATTTTTTAATATGAAGATTAAGGTTAAATGAATAAATTTATGTTTCATTTTTGGGAAAATCATAAATTAAAAAAAAAAAAAAAAAAAAAAAAAAGTCAAAATGGTCGAGATTTTTAATATAAAGATATTTTTTAGGACAAACTCCATAAAAACCATTAAACCAATGTTTTAAAACTCGGGTTTTTAGTTGACCCGGTGTGATGACCGGTTCACGGGTCAACCGGTTCAACCGGTTGAACCGCCGGGTCAACCCGGTTTATGGTCTTTTTCTATTTCTATATATTTTTACTTTCATGCATAATGCATAAACATATAAAACCAATAATTTGATGTCCACAAAGTTTAAACATTGAAGAAACCGCAAACGGCTCGTTGTTTTGGCGTTCGCTACTTGTATCCAACCATCCAAACTCTATTGAAACGGGTCAAACCGGTTTAACCGGTTCAACATAAGCGGTCGAACCGCGGTTTAGGGGAAACCCGGCCGGTTCGATCCGGTTCGTATTTTTACAAAAAACCGGTCTAATTTGACCCGCCTTCTACCCCGGGTCACGGTCCAACCGGTTGAACCGGCCGGGTCGACCCGGGTTTTAAAACATGGCATTAAACATTCATAAAAACTTGATTTTAATATTGTGGATTTGCCCTTTCCTTTTTGGAATTTTCTTTTTTGAGATTTTTATGGCAACTACGAATTCGTTTTTTCTTTTAACTTAATAGATTTTATAGAATTTCTTTTTTTATACACAATGACCATCAATTTTGTATTAGTATCAATATAAAGTTGCGTTTGGTTCATAAAATAATTTTAAAGGAAATAAAATATATCAAAAGAATTAGAATTTAAATATATTAGAAGCTAAATGTATTTGGTTGACATGAAATTGTTTGGTTTGTTTTCTGTTTGGTTTTTTTATTTCTTAACAGGATTGAAAAATAAATTTTGTAACATGAGAAAAGTACATTTTGGTGGTTTTTTGTAACTTATTATATTTTAAATAAAAATGACAAAGTTTTATATAATTGCAACGTTTCCTTATTGAACTCTTCTATAAAATGTAAATTAAAAAAAATAATAACTAACATGTATTTCTTGAGCACATACAAATCAAAAGAACATTTTTAAATCGAAACAAAACGATTATATATAATAATATAAAAAAAATAAATATTATTCATTATTTTCAATCTAAAATTGTATAAAAAAATAAAATAAAATAAAAATTAACCACGTGCTATATAAAATAATGTCTAAATACAATATTACATAGTGCATAATCATATCACTCTTCCAACATGAACCTCATAAATCCTCCGGGGCTTCTCCTTCTAAATTCCGAAAACTTAACACAATTTATGGATCTTGCATTATTTTCCTACTTGCTTTGACCTATCCAAAACACTCAATGACATCATTTTTGAAATTTAAGGAATTACCATCGAAGTATTTTTTTATACTTCTATTTCTCCTAGTATTGTTTGATTCGTGCTATTCGCTGCTTTTTCAAATTTTTCTACAAGGACATTGTAACATTCTGTTTCGAGAAGTTTCTTATTTCGGGATTATGGACAATAAATGGATTGATTAAAGACCTTGGGCTTCAAGGGAATAGGGTTTAGAAATTATTGGATTTTGATAATATTGGTGTAATCTAAGCCCTTCGTTTGTGTTTTGGAGCCAAATGGTAAAATGGTAAAAGTTACATGTTATGCTTCTTGCATGGATTATGATTTTTAGTTCGATACGTGTTAAGCAAAAGTAACTAGATAAAAGTGTGGGGCTCATCAATGCCTTTCTGTGGATATAAAGATTGCCGAAAACAGAGTTGAAACGAAGAAGTTATGGTTATTTTAAGTTGAGGTGGATTTGGGTGAAAACCATCGCCACGACACAGCGAGAATTGCCACCACACGCCAGTTTTAACAGCGCGGCGAATCGTTGCCATGGCACGACCATCAGTCAAGCCTAAGCATATGATTTTAGGGTTTTCAACGTACTTAAGCAAAAGGTTCTGAATTTTTGGTCATTTTATCAACCTCAATCACCTTTATAACCCATTGGGAGAAACCCTAGCCTCCACCTTCCAGATTTGAGTTTCTCCTCTTTCCTTTCTCCTCTTTTTGAAAGCTTTTTATGTTATTTTGATGAAGTTTAAAGATCAAGAAGGTTCTTGATATGTGCATAATTAGTTAATTATTTAACATATATTCTTAGTTATTTTTTTGTTAATTATGAGAATAATATGGACAAAAGGTACTTAAAATGATTTGAATTGTGTTTTCAGTCCAAAAGATATGCTTGGAGGCAAAAAGGAGAAAAGGGAAAGCAAGTGAAGATTAAAGAGTGAAGGAAGGACTTACTCGGCGAGTAGATCGACCCTACTCGGCGAGTACACGATGATATGCCAGAAGATATATACGACTGCTAATCTAAAGACGGATAAGTATGGACCTACTCGGCGAGTTGATTCTGCTACTCGCCGAGTACCCTCTGTTTTGGGATATCTTTAAAAGACGAATCCTTATCACATGGGACATAACTCCTGGCGAATTTTGAAGGATTAGCTGCGACTAAAAGGTTCAGAAGGCGCTAAGGAACCCTAAGCTTCAAGAGTTGGAAGAATTCAAGCAATTAGGTTAATTCTACCACTTAGACTTAGGAATTAAACATGTTTGCTTTCATAAACTTTGTTTTTATGCTTGTTTCTACTGCAACTATGAGCTAAACTCGTTTTTGTTTCTGTTTGGGGAATACCAAAGAACTCCTATGGTTTAATTATTGAATTTTGTTTAATTGTCTATTGGTGATTTATTAAATTAAGTTTGTTAAAGAACCTTATGTATTAATCACTACTATTTTCTGTTAATTGGAAGGCAATTAGGTTGCATGAACATCACTTAATTGTTAACCTCATATGTCTATGTGAATGCTAAAACGTATGCTTGGAAGTAATGAGTATGAAACTAAGATTAATAAGAAAATAGGAAGATTAATGTGTGAGCTTGTTTGAGAAACCATCAACAAGAGGTTAATTGAATTAATAACTTAATTGACCATTACAAATCTTATTTAATCCAAATAATTAATCTAGGGAATTAATTAGTTTAAACACTTGATCAACGCTTAAATTAGTTAATTGTCTAAGGGTTAGGAGTAATGAACATGAACCTAACTATTATCATTGGTAACCAATAGCAATTAATCTACCTTAACTTAAATAACCATAGGAGTGAATTGGTTGAACCTAAATAGAAACATCTTTATCAAATTTGGTGAATAGTTGTTGCTTTAGTTAATTAGTTAATTTAGTTTGTTTAAGTTTCTAGTCTTGCAAAACTAGAGAAAAACCTTTACTTTTATTATTTGTTTTAGTTAAAATTAGCTATTAGTTTAATTTCCGTTCCCTGAGTTCGATACCTTACTTATCAATCTATACCACTTAAAGACAGGTTCACTGCCTTTGTGTGCTCAAATTATTAATAAAAAGTAGGGATAAAACTAGTTGAATTTACACACATCAAGTTTTTGGCGCCGTTGCCGGGGAACGGTTCTAAATAATTAAGCTAATTCCTAATTTTTTCGATCCTTTGTGTGAGTTTACTTGCATAAAGTTCATTTATTGCAATTTAGTAACTGGTAATTAGGTTTTAGTATCTGTTTTAGTTAGGTTAAAAACTTAGATTTTTTTTGA